CATAAGCCTTATCTATTACACATGCCTAACATTTCTGAGCTGCCTCTAAAAATAATAAAACAATGTAATCTCAACATAGAAGGAGTTAATAAAAATACAGTACAAGCTAGTGTTAAAGAGAATAGGCTCTGGAATACTGGATTCGATCTTGGCTCTGCTTCTTGCTAATTGTTTCACCTTGTTTCAATTATTTAACCTTTCTAAAAATGTCCTCTTCTGTAAAATGGAGGGTTAAGTGAAGGCGACCCTTTCAAGGATCACTCTAGTCGAGATGCTAAGATTAGATCGTAGAGGTTGGTGTGGCAATGATAGAGAGAGCAAGGGCGAAAACAGAATAGATCCAAGGCTAACATGATAATCCAGGCACAGATGATACCACCTTGGACCAGAGTGGCAACTGTGGAGATGGTCAAAAGTGACCAGAGTCTCCTCTCATATATTTCTTTCTAGATAAATATTTAATAAAATGGTTCCACGGCAATTTTGACTGCAGTTATGCTGAATTTACAGATTACTACACTACACACCCAGTTAGAGATGAATACCATGTGTCCATGTTGGAACACTGGAAATCTACAACAAACATCACACTTGATGATGAAACATCAGAAACATTAAAGTTCAAAATAAAATATGCACACTCACCATTACATCTACTGTTTACTTTGGAGCACCTAGCCAATACAATGAGTTTAGTCATAAAACTGAAAAAAATTAATGAAACTCATTAACTTTAGATGTCTGTACCAAAAACAAAAACTCAAGGCAAACAACTGATAAACTAATAGAACTAGGAGTTTAGTTAACTGGCCAGATTGAAAATTAACAAAAAATTTAGTACTTTCCCTGTACATCAGCAATATCTAATCAGAACATGTCACGGAAAATAAAAGACCTTATAAAAGCCACAGAATTGTTTCCTAGGAATAAACCCAGTAACATACATGGAAAATTATATGAAGAAACTGTAAATCTTTACTGAAAATTCTAAAAGAAGATCTGGATAAACAGGCATACCATGTTCATAGATGGGAATACTCACTAGTGGCTTTCTTATTTTCTTTTTGTTCATTTTTACATTAGCTTGGTGAATGCACTATGCACTTTAAAAGAATGTTATTTTCCATAGTTGTGTGTGGTATTCTCTATTGGGCTGAGATGATTAGCGACATTGTTCAGTTCTTTTACACTGAGCTAGTTTTCTAATTTTCCTATCAATTATTGACAGAGGAGGGTTGAAATATCAAAATAAATGTCAATTTATCTATTCTTCCTCAATTCTATAAACTTATATTTCATGTTTTATGAAGTTCTGCTACTAGTTGCCCATATTTACTATTATATCTTCTTCATGAACTAATCCTATAATTATGAAATATCCCTCTTTATCTTTGGTATTATCTGTCCATCAGTCTAATTTTTCTGATATTAATATCAGAATATAGCTACTTCAACTTTATTATAATTTTTATTTGCATGGTATATATTATACCATATTTTTAAACTGTGTCCTTATATTTAAAGTGGATTTGTTATAGACAGCAGACAGTTTGGTCACGTGCATTTTCACCCAATCTAATACCACTGCTTTTTAACTGGAATGTGTAGTTCTTTTACATTTAATATAGTTACTTATAAGGACGAATTTAAGTCTATCATCTTGTTACTTGTTTTATATTTGTCCCATCTGTTCTTTTCTTCTCTTTTTCTGCCTTCTTTTGATATAACAGTTTTTTTAACATTCTATTTTATCTGTTGGCATGTTAGATAATTTATTTTAGTGCTTGCTGTAAGGTTTACAATCTACCTTTAAACAATATTATACACTTCATGAGTAAACTTACAACATCACAACAGTATACTTCTACTTCCCTCCCACTCCATCTTTTGTGCTTTTGTAGTCATAAACTTTATTTCTCTGTGTTAAGAACTCCACAATTCAGTTATTATTTTTATTTCAAATGGTCTACTATCTTTTATATTTAGCATTTCCTGCACTTGTCATTCCTCTGTGTAAATAGGAGTTTTCTTCTGGTATCACTTTCCTTCAGCCTGAAGAACTTCCTTTATCATTTCTTGCAGTATACTGATGATAAATCCTCTCTACTTTTTGTGTGTGTGTGTGTGTGTGGTACACGGGCCTCTCACTGTTGTGGCCTCTCCCGTTGCGGAGCACAGGGTCCAGATGCGCAGGCTCAGCGGCCACAGCTCACGGGCCTAGCTGCTCTGCAGCATGTGGGATCTTCCCAGACCAGGGCACGAACCCGTGTCCCCTGCATCGGCAGGCGGACTCTCAACCACTGCGCCACCAGGGAAGCCCAATCCTCTCTACTTTTGTTTATCTTATCTCAAAATGTATTTATTTCACTTTCAGTTTGAAAAATACTTCTGATGAATACACAAAGTTGAAAGTGTTTTAACATCCACCTTTTTAAAGATGCTATTCTATTGTTTTCTGGTTTGAACTGTTTCTAACAAGAAGTCAGTAGTACACTTATCATTGTTCCCCACATATAATACATCTTTTTTTCCTCTGGCTGCTTTTTAAGTTTTTCTCTCTCTATCACTGGTTTTCAATAATTTAATTACGGTGTACCTTGGTACAGCTTTCCTTGTTGTGATTTATTTAGCTTCTTCAGTCTGTGGGTTCATGTTTTCCATCAGATTTGAAAAAAATTCTTTTATGCCTTCAAATTTTTTATGCCTCAATCTCACTATGACACTTCACTTACACCTGTATTAGAATGTTTATTATTATCTCACAATTCACCTAGACTCTCTTCATCTTTTTTCCAGCTTTTAATTTTTTCCTATCTGTGCTTCCATTTGGACAATTTCTATTGTCCTTTTTTCAAGCTGACTTATCTTTCGCTCTAGAATGTCCAACTGACAGTTAAGCCTATCCAGTGAGATTTTCATTTTAGATACTGTACTTTTCAGGCCTAGAATTCCCATTTTGTAAAATTCCTAACTTTTCCTCTCAATATAATTTTCCTTTAAGTTGTTGAACACACTTTTTAAAGACCTTATCTGCTAATTCTGTAAACTCTGTCAGTAAGTCTGTTTCTGTTGACAGATTTTGCTTCTAGTTTTGGTTCATATTTTCCTACTACTTAAAACCTAAGTGGTTTTTTTTATTGCATGCTCAGCATCATAAATGCCACACTGTTGATTGTCTGTATTCTGTCATTCTTACGAGTGCTAAGTTTTGTTCTGGAAGGCAGTTAATTTAGTAAAGATCCACGCGATCTTCTAGAGGTTTGTTTTTAAGCTTTATTAGTGTGAATCAAAAGTAGCCTTTACTGTAGAACAGACTAGCCTTACTTTTAAGGCTTGGACTTTCCGAGGTCTCTAAAGCACTGTTTGAGACTGTTTCCAATTAGTCGTTATTTCTCTGGTAGGCTAACCCCACCCCCACTCCCAAACCTGCATTATTTTTGTTTACACAGGTATTCCTGAGAGTTAAAGACAGGTGGCTTAAAAGGAGGCAGTTAAAGAGAAGAAAACTATTCTCTCACTGTTGTGGCCTCTCCCGTTGCGGAGCACAGGCTCCGGACGCGCAGGCTCAGCGGCCATGGCTCACGGGCCCAGCCGCTCCGCGGCATGTGGGATCTTCCCAGACTGGGGCACGAACCCACGTCCCCTGCATCGGCAGGCGGACTCTCAACCACTGTGCCACCAGGGAAGCCCCTACCTCTTTTAAAAAACCAAAGTAATTCTTTTTAAAGATACCTGCTTTGTTTCTAGCATATATAATAGAGGAAGATTCCTGAAAGAATCCTCAAATCATATCCACTTTTCCACAAGCTCACTTTAGGAAGTATCTATGGTCTCTTTATTTCTTAAATTACTCATATAAACAATTCTGACTCAGTAAGAAAAGACACTGAGAATATTTTATAAATATGCATAGCTGTGGTTTCTGTAGTCAAACCTCTATTTTTATACCATTAAAAGGTAAATGTTGGAGTCTGGCGTTGAAAAAAGAACAACGCCCTTCTAATTCATTACAAGGAGGGAAGAATTCTTTAAGGGTATTTTAATTTTCTATTCTTTTCTTTATTATCTATACAACCTCACTTTCTGGCTACCTAAATGTATTCAATAGTTTATGCCAAGGATGAAGTGCTCAGTCAAAATCTCCTTTGAAAGGCAGTCAAACTACAAGACAAGAGAAAGGGAGACAAGAATGACAGGTGTCCCAAAGGTACTGCAACCGCAGAGACAAGCAAAGTTCAGGAGAACAGAATATTAAAAAAACAAAATGAGACAGGAATGAAAAAAAGAAAGTTTTGCATTTCAAAGCTCTGTTTCAAAGAAACAATTGACATTTTAAATACAATATGAATAGAAAGAAATTGAGAACGTAAAGACGTGAAAATATTTTTGCTTAAAAATGCATTATCATTTTGAAAAGGTTCAAAATTTAACTAAATGAAAGTTATCTCCTATTATTTCAAATGCTTTATAAATAAGATCAAATATAATACTATGCCTATACAGTAGGAGGAATAAGAACAGAAAGTATTTTTGAGGGTAGGACCTGCCATCAATCAAAAAAAGGGGAAAAAGCAGTTAGAAAATCTGCTTTAATGTTGAATCTTAAATGTGTTAAATGACTTACATTTTCATAGCAACCTGATATTTAAAATAAGTAGCCAAACTGATACCATAATTTTTCTTCTTAAAAAAACCTGAAAATACATTCATAGGTTACATTTCATTTTAGAATACTTTGCAAAAAACATTTTAGAAATTTTCTGAATGAAAAAAGGGGTAAATAGGTACTGACCAATTCTTAGTTGCACTATTATTTACATAAACCATATGTATATCTCAATTTTTTAATGTCATTATAATTAGTATGAATTTATAACAGGATGCTAGGTCCATACTATACAATCAAAATACCTTGAAAATAATTTTTTTTCTTATAAATGTGCTTGGCATTTAAAAATATGTGACTCTTTACCAGCTAATTGGGACCAAAAAATACTTACTTCACTGTGGCACTTAGAAGAAAGTTCAGCTGTGGCATTAACAGGTTGTCTGGGGCTGACAAATAGCGATCAAACTGAACCTAAACAAAACAGAGAAATCCAAAACACAAAGTGCATATATCTGCTAACAGACATCCCAAATAAGCATCTCTTTTAAGGATTAAATCTTAGTAAAAATTCCATATTCCAAATAACGAGTTCTTCATGATCAAAATGAGCTATTCCTTACACATTTTAACTAAAAACTCACTGGAAGTGTCAACTCTTTAATGCAGTCAGTATCAGCAATACCTACTTTCAAAATTCTGATCCAAGCCATTTATCCTGATCTCCCTCACCAAACTTCTTGGGTAATAATATTAGCAAGAAGTAAAGTCTTCAGATTTCAAGTCTACCTTACTTTCTTAAATGCAATGTATCTCTTAATTATTCACTCCTCTATTCACTAAATTAATATTTATGGAGTGCCTGTTATTGGTAAGGTGCCATATAACATAATGTAAATAGAACGGTGAGCAAAAGAGGGCAGTCCCTAGCTTCACAGAGCTTATGGCCTAGTGAGAGAGGTAGTGAACAAATAATAATGTAAATAAAGGAAAAACCAAAGTACTACAAACACATCAATCAGGAGGACACAGACCTAACCTGTATGTTTGGCAAAAGCATTTCTGAGGAAAGGTCGTTTTACGTGAAATCTTAATGATGAATAGATGTTAAGTGTGTAGTGGGGCTGGTGTGGAGGAAGGCTTAGGTGAGAAAGAGGATGCCTACCAGAGATCACTCCATGCAGGACTTGCATGGTTTCTAGAAGATTTTAATTCTTACTGTAAAAGCATTAGGAAACCATCGAACAAGGGAAATCATCTGATTTAAATTTTAAGAAGTACATCTGGCTACAGCAAGAAGAATGGAAGGGGAGGTTGTAATAGCAGATGCAAGGACACCACATAGGTAGCTCTTGCGGCATCTTAGACGCCAAGGGCAATAGGGGTGAAGAGAAGATTAGATATCTGAGAGAATTAGAGAGCAAAATCATCAAGATTTGGTTAGTGACAGACAGGATAAAGGGGCTGACTCCCAGGTTTTGGATCTGTATAATTCACAGCATTATCACAATTCACGACTGTACTCTTTATATATTTATTTAGTTGTGTGATAACTGCATCTCTTACTAGATCATTCCAGTTCTCAGCATGATACCTAGATAATAGCAGATACTTGGTTAATAAATGCTGAAATAATTAGTGGACAGATGCTCTTATACTTTCTGAGTTAAGAACACTTGGAAAAGGACCTGGGGTTGGGGCTGGTGGGGAAGAGTTAGAAGAGCTCAGTCTGGGATATGGTGAACTGAGGTGACTTTGAAGCATCCAAGTTGGGGCACCAAACAGTTATAGATAAAACAATGGATCACACATAAAACTCAATCAAGAGTTTGTTTCTTTAGAGACACCTAAGATATTCAACTCAATTGTTTTTAAAGTTAAGATCAGGCATATACGAACCTGTAATAGGGTTTAAATATATTTTGTGAGTTTATATTATGAACTGGATATGCGTCACTGGAGAAGGAGAAATAGGCGGGATGCACACATTTACTAAGTACTAAGGTTACTGATCTCTGCGTAGACCTATATCCTAATTTTGCTGGGGTGGGGGTGCGGGGGAGGGCAGTAAATACCTTAAAGTGGAATTACTGGGCGGTATAGTGAGTGTACATTGAACTTTCTAAGAAACTTATCTTTTTTAATGAATGTAAAATTTATTCATTTATTTTTGCACTTTTCAGAATCAAATCTTTGCATTTCTACAGTTTTTACTGTTATGTTGGATATACACAAGTTATGACTTACTTTTTGTATACTGTCTTTTATCATGACATAATGTTATTTATGATATTTAGTGTTTTTAAAATCTACCTTGTCTAATATTAACTCTGTCAGCTCTGTATTCTTTGCATTTGTTGGGTATCTTGTGGGTCTACCCTTTATTTTCAGTTAAATTTAGCTCTGTCAGATGATAGACAGGAAAGCCCTGGCATCAGAGAAGTCACCCAAGAGAACTATTTATCGAAGTCAAACCACTGTGGCAGTGAGTATTGAAACACATAGGATAGGCAGTACATATAGTAGGTAAGAGCATAAGTACTGGGTTGAATGGGGTTGTTAGGAGGATTAAAGAGTTAGTACATTAAAAATGTGTGTCATGCTCAATATATGTTAATGGATGTTGTCATTACTTACTGTTTATTATTACTACCACTAGAATTTGTATCATAAAGCTTCCAAAGGGGATCATTCCTGTGAGGACTAAATGAGTGTCATCCAACTGATGGCTGTGTGTGCGTGTGTGTATACATACACACATATATAGGCAAAGTATGTACTTAAGATGTGGAAACATGCTACAAGAAGTGGTGCTCATGCAGAAAGGGATGTGCAAGCCAGCTCATCACTTGAAAAGAAGGTAATAAAGTGGAGGTTCGGTGAGCATCACAGTCAAGAGTAATATTTTAAGATTGGAATCCAATTTCAGTTATCAACTCAGGAAGAAGTCAAGAACTATAAGCCCAGGATCACTGACAGATGGACGTCTATGATGATATATAGCTAACTCCTTCGTGTCTCTCATTCCTTTCTCCATTAGGTTAGGAGTAAAACTCTGAAACTGAAGAAAATCTAAACAGGAATAATGACACTATTAGGGTATGGTGCAATATTACTACAAATGTTATGCCTTGGTCAGATCTGCTTAGTTAAAGGAATACATGTGCACTCATTATGACTGGACCCAACGTGAATACTGCATATGAAGAGATAAAATTATCACCCGAGACAAAAATTATCACACAGGAAAAAATAGGAAGAATGTTCCATAAGGAAACGTATGTTGAAATGCTTTATTATGTACTTACCATTGCAGCCTTCAGTGCCACAGAATCTAGGTTGGGAAAATTAGCTAAAGGGCCCTTAAAAAAAAAAAGGGACAAAACCAAGATGAAAACAGGTGCTATATGTTACAATTCACTTCTCAAATACAGTCCATTAGTAGATGGCCCGAATTTGAAAATTTAGCTTATTTCCAAAGAACTCAGGTGTCCTATCTCCAACCTCAATTAAAAGAGGGACTGTGATTTGTTCATTTTGTATAACTAGCGTGAAGGCACTCAATAATATTTGTTGGAGAAGCACATAAGTTTATTAACAATGGAAATAAAAGGATACTTCAGATTTAATCATAAGCAAGAAAAAAAGGGCAATAAAGCACTGAGGAATGGCAGTGAGACATGGGGGCTTTAAGAGTTGCCTTGATAACTTTAGATAATATAAAAAGGCAGCAGAATTTGCTCCTACTGGTAGAAATTTGCTTATTACCTTATCAAAAGAAAAAATTCAAACCTTGTCCCTGGGCTATAAAATATTCATGTTAATGTTATTTAAAAGTATTTTGCTTTTTAAAGAAAGAGGCTTACATGGTTTTCTAGGGTTCCCACCACTCCATTTTCTAATTCTACTGGAGTTCTATAACTTAAGATCAGATGTTAGCCCCAGAAGTATTTACCTTTCCAAAGTAATAGACCATGATTTGCTAAATTAAAAGGGGGGATGACTGCTATTTACATAGTAATCTATGCATTTAATAAATCAATGGTGATAAAGGACTAAAAAATTTACCAATGAGTATTCTTTATATATTTTTCAATACTAATTTTTGTATATTTTCATTACTTGTAACCCAAACTATCTATAGTAAAAAGGATAGTATTTTGGGACACCCTACTATATCTCAGATAGTCCTCCAAGAACTACACAGGTATTATCTCAATCTTAGAACAATCCTATGTTACAGATATTATTACCCTCAATCTACAGATGAGGAATCAGAGAGAGAAGTCACCTTCCCAGTGAAAAATTACTACTAAGTGTCTAGCTCTAGAAGCCGTACTCTAAATTGGTGTATCTCTCTAGTTAGGAAGATCCATGTGCTTACCTGTTCGGGTTTATGTTGCTGTATGGTGTTATAGATATAACTCACGCCTGCTCTAGTTAAAACATAAGAAGCTTGCTCATTTATAAGTGTGTCCAAATGTGCTTCAATCTAAAATAAAACACAATTAAAAGAAAATATTTTAAAAGAAGAATAAGACTGATTGAGAGCAGTAGACTAGCCTGGAGTCTTAGCTCTTCATCATGGACGTGTTCCTTGCAGCGGCTATGAGGCCAAAATATGAAGGATAGGGACTGCTCCTGTACAAAGACTTTTCCTTCCCCAAAGAGGAAGTCCTCTTACAAAAGGGAGGGAAAGTCTTACTTGAGGATTCCAGGACTAGCCACTAGTCGAAAAATTTGGGTTGCTTCTTGGCTCTTTTAAAAGCTGGTATTAAGCAAGACACAAACAAAAACTACTCATAAACAACAGTGTAAAATAAAATACTTAGACAGAATTCTGGGAAGATGAGGACCTGATGTCCCTCACATCCACACTGCCTCATGCTCCCAACTTGCTGGACTAACTCAACCAATCAAATACATCATCTGGAGAAGTCTGAAGGAAATCCCACGGGGGCTGAAGCAGTAAGTCCTCCAGAGAAAAGCGGATTTGCGACAACTAGGGGACTGTTGAGGAACCAGCAGAAGGCTGGGCAAAGATGTCAAGTTCAGGAGCTGCCAGCTAGCAGGTGGGACTTGTACGTGGTCACACGTTTGGTGCTATTCTTGGGGAAGCCACCTAATGCTCATGGGGGCAGAAGCCACAGAAGGAGACTACCTGATGGGCTGAAGTATTCCCAGGTGGGGAGAAGTGGCTGCTCCTTCCTTTAACCAGTACAGGCCTGTAAGTCTACAGATCTTCCTGTTACCCCTCACTGGACACTCCCCTCAGTTTTACCAGCTTGTTTACCAGTGGCACAGTCTGCTATTAAGAGATGCTATCTGCCGCCATCTGAATGTTTGCCACCGTGCAAGTCGCTCCAGCAGCTGAGCCCCTCCCCGTAAAAAACTTACAACTGATTTAAAAGAGGTGAGTAGGTTCTATGAGAAAACCCACCTGAATAATGAGAACAAGTATCTTTTCCTGAGGCAACACTACTGAAAGACGCAGGGTACCTTAGTTTTTTTTTAAGTGAATGCCCAAGAAAGTACAATTAGAACCTTAGAACCCTTACTTACTAGTCCTACTGGAAAATCCAAGAAAAACAAGATTGCAAATGGAAATATTTAATGAAAGAGTTACTGCCAAGAAGCAAATTAGTATCTGAAAGAAAAGTGGAAGAATAGTAATACAGAGTAAATATCAAAGAAATATATTAAAGGGAAGAGATTTAAACAGAAATTAGAAGGCAAATTTAGGAGATAAAGCCAACTAAGGACAGGAGCTTCAGAATATAAAAAGTAACAGATGGAGAAGTGAACAGATAACAGAAAACTTTACTGAGCAAACAACAAAAGGGTGGAATCTTCAGACTGAAAAGACTTTGCAAAATCCAAGATGGAAATAATAGAAAAAGAGACATACCAAAAAATATCCTGAGGAAATATCTGAACTCAAAGGAAAATCCTCGTAAGCTTCCACGTGAATAAAATAGGTTATCACAAACAACAGAGAATCAGACTAGCCTAGATTTCTTACTTGAAACACTGGAAGAAGAAAGAATGGAAGAAAATTAATGGACTAGTGATAGAAAAGATCTGAAAATCAAGAATCCTTTACTCGACAAGGAAAACTATCACTGTGGGGCCCGCGCCTTCCAGCATCCACACCCTTGCCCGGTCCTCTCCACACTGACTCTGGCTGGTCCACGTGACCAGTGCCAGCCACCAGCCCATCAGCAAGAATGATGCAGGCTCAAGAAGCACTTACATGGTGGGGCTTGTCCTCTTGGAATGCAAAAAACAACTTTGGAATATTTGAGAAACAAAGATAACTGGTGATAAAACAGATTGCTGGACCAACTGATATATGTGCACGTCTTGAGAAGAGATTTAGACAAATGGCAGAGTTTCGGGTTGAATTAGTGATAAATACATTAAAAACCAATGACTATTTTTAAAAAAGATTTTACTAATTATACTTAAACAATTATGCAAAAAAGAAAAATTAATCATACTTCATTATATTTCTTTTAAAAGAAAGAATTAGAAAGTAGAAAACATCACAAACTTAGAGGTCTCAAACTCAGTCCTTAGAAAAACCCAAAATGACAAATTTTTACTGTAGCCACTGCCAAACTGTTTATATACTTGTGATAACAAAGAAGACTCAGGGTTGTTATTGGTTTTTTTTTGAAACATTCTATCTACCAAAAATCACTCTTTCAAAACCAAAAGCCAAGTATCTGGTAAATTTTATAAATGGCCTTGTTGTGACTCTTAAGTGATACCATTTGGCTTATAGGACCAGAGCGATTGGCATAACAAACTGTAATGTTGTGCCTAACACTGATTTACACATAGATAAAAATATATCTGTCCTCTGCAACACCTTCTGCACTAGCTACACAGCTTGGAAAATATAGCACGTTATTCACAGTATGGAAACTGAAATCTGCATACAGAATAACAGTTCAAATCAGTCAGAAAAGCTCCATTCTAACACCACATACTATGGCTTGAATAAAATATCTTACCTGTTACATATTCTGGCTTCTCCAAAACAAAACTGAAATACTGAATATGCATGGGGGCAGGGAGGGGTTCTATCAGACTATAACAAGGGATTCGTATAAATCAGGTCACTGAAATTATCTTAAAGCCAGTAACTGAGATCATGTATAGCAAAAAGATTTCATCACAGTGAGCAGTCACTTTATGGCAAAATTAACCTGGAACTGTAGCATTTCCAGACGTCTGTCGGTGAATTCAAACAGAGCTAATGTTGTCTTCATCATATACAGTGAATTGACCATAAAGGTGGCCATGTCAGCTGTGCCTAAATTGCTGGCTGATACAGTACACATCTGGAGGAGAGGATCCAAGACACATGATAAAACCTATAAATGAAAAATAAAATCAAATGTATTCCTTATTTCCCAACCAGTGATACGGGTCTGTGTTAACGGCACTTCAGAATGAATGTCAAACTAATGGGGAGCGGGCCAACTTACAGAAGCGCATAAGAAAAAGATTAAATGGTACCGCAACTGTAATAGTTTTTAAAACAAGCATCACTGAATATATACTTTTTAAATTAAAGGGAACTGGTTTAATATCTGAAGGAAAAAGCAATGAGAAGGACTGTCAAGATACATGGGCTATCAAGTGCCAGAATTTCAAAAGAACGTACAATAGAGGAGCAGTAAGAATCATTAAACGTGAATTTACAACCTACCTGCACAAAGTCAGCCTGACGGGCATCTAACGGTACAACTGAAGAATCGTGAGATGCCAAAACTTCACGCAACAACATGAGTGTCTGATTTAATGCAGAACTTGGTCCAAGATCAGGTGGTGGGAGTTCAACCTAAAATGAAGGATGACTTATCCACTGCTTGTATTTTTCTACTAAATTATAGTGTCTACATAAATGCCAGTTCACGGTAAAATAGTTCATATGAAAGATGTAAAGCTTTGCTGATACATTACAAAATCTACAATCTAGCAACAGCTTATTTTTTATCCTACTAATCAAAATCAGCACAGAAAGTGACACAAGTTTTTTGTTAGATTATCTCAGAATACATCACAATTAAAAGTACAGAATTTGAACTTTAATTCAAAAATTACATGGAAATTTAGCAGTCTTTGAATTGTAGAATTATATTTTCATATAGATTTGAAATGGCCTGTTTTGTTTTTTAGCCCAAGTCTTAAGAAAGTAATCCAGAGACCAGCACTTCACCTACTATAATATTATTGAGAATCATCACTCACCTGCATGCCCCAATGTCAGATACTGTGGCTCAGTATGTATAGGTTCAGGGTCTAGAAATCTATCTTTCAACAAGCACCCCAGGTGGTTTTCAGGACCCTGGTCCATGAGCCACACACTTCACAGAAACAGTACAACACTGCCACTAAAATCCTGAATTCTGGAGTTAAAGAGATTAATTTTACATTTTGTAACTAGCACTTACTAGTTGTGTGACCTTGGAAAAGTTATTTAAATTCTCAGAGGCTCAGAGGGATTCTGTAAAGATTAAATGGGATTGCTGCATCTCAACTACTGAGTAGAGTATCTGATACTTATTAACTGGCTACGTTCATCATCCCTACTTGACACCATCATGATACCTCAGAAGAGGTGCCTGAGAATTTTTTAAAACATTTTTCAAAGTACTTATAATACTAATATAGTCACATTTTGTAAATGAAACAAAATCTGGTACTCAGAGATCCACGTAACACTACACTCTCATGTCAGGTAGATAGAAAGGCATAAGAATTTTATAATATCAGTATTTATATTAAGAATGTTTCATGTATAAAAGTTAATACATAAGTGACGTCAGCAGGAATGGCAAAGTATGGACCTCTGAAAATCCTCCCTCCTTCATAAAAGCAACGAAAACAAAAATTATGAGACATGCCAACAAACAAAAAAGTATGATCATTTACAGAAAAAACAATCAATAGCAACTCCCTGAGGAAGCCCAGATGTTGGAAATACTAGTCAAAGACTTTAAATCAGCTCTTTTAAATATGTTCAAAAACTAAAGGAAACTGTTAATGAATTAAAGGAAAGTATGAGAAAAAAATCTTACAAAATAGAGAATATCAATAAAGAGATAGAAATGGTTTAAAAAAATAACCAAACAGAAATGTTGGAGTTGAAAAAGCACAAAAACTGAAATGAAAAATTCACTACAGGGAATCAACAGGAGATCTGAACAGACAGAATAAATAATCAGTGAACTTGAAGACAGGTCAATTAAGATTAACTGCTGTGAGGAATAGAAGGAAAAAAGAATGAAAGAAAATTAACAGAGCCTCAGACACCTATGCAACACCGTCAACATCATCAGTACAATGCGGATCTCAGAAGGAGGAAAAAAGGGGGCATGCAAAAAGAATATTTAAAGAAATAGTGGGAGAAGACTTAGCAAATTTGATTTAAAAAATTAATCTAAACCTCCAAGAAGTTCATGAACTCCAAGCAGAATAAACTTCAATAGATCTACACTGGGACACATAATCAAACTGTCAAAAAAGAGAGAATCTTGAAATCAACGAGAGAGAAGTAACTCATTCTGAACAAAGGATTCTCAATAAGCTTAACAGTTGACTTCTCATCAGAACACATGGAGATTAGAAGGCACTGGATGATATATTCAAGGGCTGAAAGAAATATACTGTCAACCAAGAATTCTATATTCAACAAAACTACTCTGTAAGACTGAAGAAGAAATTAAGACATTCCCAAAACTACTCTGCAAGAATAAAGAAGAAATTAAGACATTCCCAATAAACAAAACAAAGAATTCTTTACCGGCAAACCTGCTCTACAAGAAATATTAAAGGGAATCCTTCAAGCTAAAATGAAGGTACACTAGACAGTAACTCAAATTTGCAAGAATAAAGAACAGCAGAAGTTTCTGGTATCAGTAAATATAAAAGGCAGTTTAATGTACTTTCTGCTTTTAACTCCTTTTTCTTGGATTTAAAAGACAACTGAATGAAGCAATCATTTTAAATCTATGTTGATAAGCACACAAGGCAGAAAGATGTAATTTGTAACAACAGTATCATAAAGGAAGGGGAAAATGGGGCTATACAGGAGCAAAGCTTTAGTACACTATTGAAAGTAAGTGGGTATTGATCCAAACTAGCTAGATTATTAAAAAATTAAGATGGTAATTATTATTCCCAGGGCACCACTAAGAAAATAACTAACTACACACATACACATACATATATATTTACATAAACAATAAGGGAACTAAAGCAGTGTACTAGAAAATATTTACTTAACACAAAAGAAGGCAGTAATGGAGGGACAGAGAAATAAAAACACTTAGAACATACAAAAATATGGTGCAAAATGGAGGACATAAATGCTACTTTATCAACAATTAAATTAAATGTAAACATGCTAACCAAAAAAGCAGAGGCTGGCAGATGGATAAAAGAAAAAAGAAATACATTGACCCAACTATATGCTGTATTCAAGAAACACACTTTAAAGACAAAAATAGACTGAAAGTAAAAGGACAGAAAAAGATATATCTTGCAAACAATAACCAAAAGAGTGCTAGAGTAGCTATACTAATTTCAGACAAAGAAGACTTTAAGACAAACACTGCTGCTAGAAAGGAGGGCATTTTATAATGTTTATTATAAAGAAGATACAACAACTCTAAACATACATGCATCTAACAACAGAGCCAAAAAATACATGAAGCCAAAACTGACAAAACAGAAGGGAGAAGTATCTCTTGTGGCGAAGGAATAGTTATGTCGAGTTTGATACCTCCTTCAGTTTTGGTTCCTTTTTTCTATTACATTCAAATAAGACTGAACTTAGAAAAACTCCAAAATATGAAGTCATCTTTATAAAAGTATTTTCTACCCATTCATCCAATTTAAAAAAGGTATCTAGAATGTTGTTAAACTGATGGATGATGATTAACACAAGAATGTATTCAGCAGTCAATAAACACACAAAAAACTGTTCAACATCATTAGCCTTCAGAAAAGTACAAATCACAAATGAAATACCACCACACAACTTCCACAAAGGCTAAAATTAAAGACCAACAATATCAAGTACTGGAGAGGATGTGGAGCAACTCAAATTCCCACACATTTCTGGTGGAGTAAACTGGTACAACCACTTCGCAAAAATGCTTGGAGAGCTATGAAAGCTATCAACCCAGATATTCCATTACTGTGTATACACACAAGAGAAATGAAAACTTATGTCCACCAAAAGACATGTACAAGGATATTCATAGGCGCTTTATTTACAATATCTAAGAAACAGAAACAATACAAACATCTATCAATAAACTGTAGTAAATCTGTATACTAGAATTATTACACCATGGTTAAAAAAATGAACTACTGCTAAACACAACATGGACGAATCTTACAGATATAATACTAAATGCAAGAAGTCAGACCCAAAAGAGTTCACCTGTGTGAATTTACTTATGTGAATTTCAATAGCACACAAAAACAGGAAACAGGAGTCAGATGGTGATTGACTTTGGAGGCTTTTGACTGGGAAGGAGCAAGAAGCTTTCTGAGGTGCTGGAAATGTTTTATATGTCGATCTGGGTGACAATTAATGAACATATATACAAATACAAAAATTCAATGAACTTAAGATTTGTATACTGTAAGTTTTATCTCCCTTTACCCTGAAAGTTCATTTAATCTTTTTTTGTTTATATTATGTAAATATTGATAATCAATAAGGTTTTATAAAAATATCCAAAATTCAAGTGATTAATAATATTAATAATTATAAGGCACAAAAGAACTTTATGAAAGATATATTCATAACTTTTATGTACATTTCCCAACTATTAAAGTTGAAGTATAAAGAAAAATTTCACATTTCAAAGCATTTGGTTTACTGAAAACTTCATATTCTATATATTAGAACCTTTTTTTTTTTAATGTATAGAGCTATAACACTGAACAAAGTTCTCATTCTTCTTGTGACTGTTTACTACGACATTTTTTATCCCTTTTGTAGATACGTGCTCTATTAGAGGAAAATGAAAAGGGTGCACCATAAAAGTTCCAAAAGCTGTTTTTACAACCTCATTCCACTGCCAACTTTAGTTTTATTCTTTGAAATATCTTCCATTTAAGGTCCTCCAATTTTCTATACTGCAGCTTCTTAGCAGACCACTTGCCCATGTGCTTTCAAAAAATAAAATCAACACCAAACAAAAACCCTCATATTTTTTTAGTACATACTTTAATTTTTTTAATTAATTAATTTTTTTTTAAATTTTTGGCTGTGCTGGGTCTTCACTGCTGCACCCTGGCTTTCCCTAGTTGTGGCGAGCGGGGGTTACTCTTCATTGCGGTATGCAGGCTTCTCAATGTAGTGGCCTCTCTTGTTGCGGAGCATGGGCTCTAGGCATGCAGGCTTCAGCAGTTGTGGCACATGGGCTTAGTTGCTCCGCGGCATGTGGGATCTTCCCAGACGAGGGCTCGAACCCATGTCCCCTGCACTGGAAGGTGTATTCCCAACCACTGCGCCACCAGGGAAGCCCAAAAACCCTCATATTTTTAAATTAACTGCTTCATTTTATATATAGACTCCTTTCGCTCTAAATATATATATGTTCCAGTAATTAACAGTAAATGGAACTAAAGTGCTTTTTTTAAAACCAGTTTATTGAGGTCTGATTGACATACAAAAAGCTGTAAATATTTAATGTATACAACTTGATGAATTTAGAGGTAAGTATATACCTGAAACCAAGTCCCCCTAAAACCAAGTTCCCTTACAGAGCTTATGAACAACCTCTTTATCCAAAGCTTTACTCTCTTTCTTGTCCCGCC